AGTGTTCCTTCGCCTCAGGAGGAGTTGGTGGACGAGGGGAGTGTTCCTTTGCCTCAGGAGGAGTTGGTGGACGAGGGGAGTGTTCCTTTGCCTCAAGAGGAGTTGGTGGACGAGCGGAGTGTTCCTTTTTTGCCTTAGGAGGAGTTGGACGAGGGCGATTGGCTTTGCCTGAGAAGGAGTTCGTGGACGAGGGCAATGTCCCTGATGAGGAGTTGGTGGACGAGGGAGTAGCAGTCGACGCAGGCCACAGTGCCCCGTCCGTGCGAGACGGCGTGATCAGAGGGCATGTTGAGGAGGAGGGAGCAGCCATCGACATGTCCCTCACGATTATTGTTAGGCCCCCGTCGGTGCGAGATGTCAAGAGAGGAGGGCATATTGACGCGGGCGGGCCGGGCTGTTTCTCCACAGGTGGGCATTTCGGGGAGATGCCTCGGTGGGATGGCGGGGAACCGGGGGAGTGCACTCCGACCCCATTACATCCGGAGCAGCTAGAGAGGTTGGGGACGGAGGAACCTTTCCCGTTCACCGGTGGTCATCCCTCGCCTCCCCCGTGGGCTCCAGTGAGCCCTATGTGGACCGGATCATCGCAGTCCGACATCCGCGAGCGGGAGTCTTTGGAGAGACAGGCGGCAGTGTTTTCAAGCGGGCATGGCAGCAGCCATGCGCAGCCACTGACGCGCCCTGTATCTCGAGCATCGCAGTAGGGATCAGCACCGACTGCAGGTCTTCCACCGATTGGAGGTCGAGGCAGCGGGCGGGGATCTTCTTCGAGTCATTGAGGTGGCGTTTTAGGGGGGTGGTCGTCTTGTCGGACAGTCAGAGGAGGGACTACGATACATGACGGGGGTTGTTCGCACGAGGACCATTGGGGGAGGGAGATCCTGTAGCGGGTGCGAGTGAGGCTGGACGACCGAGTGTCCACACAGCAGGACGTATACTCGGATTGGATAGAGTTGAGACGAGGAGGACAGAGAGGTTGGAGGTTTATCCGGCTCGATCAGCCATTGACGACAGTCGGCAGGGACTGCCTTACACATCGGGCGAGGAGGACTTGCATATGCCACAGGGTTCGAGACGTCATGGCTCAATCAGGGATCTTGATGTGGAGATTGCTGCTGACCAGCAGCGGTTGGCGGACCTCATTCGCGAGCGTGACAGGAGGTCGGAGACGGAGGCACAGGCTGAGGAGGCGGACACAGAGACTGAGCCCATCGACACAGCTATGCGGAGAGAGAGTCATCGAAGAGTAGCGTCCGCGACGGGCTCACACCTTGCACCCGTAGGGAGACAGGGAGCACCACGGGGCAGGGGTCGGAGTGGGCAGAGAGGAGCATTGGCAGGGAGAGGGAGTGCAGCACGTCATAACACTCATACTAGGCGCGGCAGCAGGGGTTAGCGACTTGTGTAGCACGGCAGATCAGATTTGTACTTTCATGTTTTACACGGCAGGAGTTAGCGACTTTGTGTAGTAGGGCAGATTAGTTTTGTACTTTCATGTTTTTTTATATTATCTTTATTTTATCTGTACATTACTTTAATGTTCTTTGTTGTTAGGTTTCAGAGTTGCTCTACGTTGTTAGTTTTGCTGTGCTATGTTTCCATCATGTAATGTGTCAGACAGACTCAGACTTGCTCATGGTTGTAGTCTTTTTTTCCTACACTGCGACACCAGTTTTGGTTTTCTTGGCCAGGTTGTCATGTTGGCTTTGTTCACATTTCGTCATCGACACATTACGTTTGCCAGTGCTATGTTTGCATCATGTATTGGTGTTTCTGTGTGTGTTGTATTGTCCTTATGTCTATCAAACCCTATCCCCTCCCAGTTAATGTCCCTCCCCAACCGCCTTTCAGCCAATGAGCCCTCTCTTTCTACTCCCTCCCAATGAATGACATCCACCAACACCCCCCCAACGAATGACTCCCCGACCAGATCAAACCCCCAAAACCATCGCTGAACAAAAGGAAAGGAAACATTTATGTGTTGTGAAAGTGGCACCCCCAAAACCCTCTA